ATTCCAACCGCAGAATATGGAATAATAAGATGACACAATGACGCATAGAAGAATGTCCAGACCTGTTTTCTCTCCGTGCATAAAGATTTAAATTATAGGAAGGTAATGCCCAACTGATTTTAAAAGAATCATTCTATGAGTAATTCGTGAAGCCTATTACTCAGGCCTTCCCTTTATTAGATGTGTTCAAGCAAAAGCTATGCAACCATCTGACAAATTTGAATTTGGAGTCCTATACTCAGAGTGCTAAATGACCTTTTCCAAATGTACAACGAGAAGTGGCATGTGTGAGGCAGAAGTGGGTTTCAGCAGGTTCTGACTAATTCTGGAGAACCGGTAGCGGAAATTCTGAATAGTTCGGAGAACCCATAGTAAAAATTCTGACTGGCCCCGCCCCCATCTATTCTCTGCCTCCCAAGTCCCAGCTGATCGGGAGGAAATGGGGATTTTGCAGTCACCTTCTCCTGGATTAGGGAGGGAATGGTGATTTTACAGTATCCTTCCCCTGGAGTGGGGTGGGAATGGAGATTTTACAGTATCCTTCCCCTGCCATGCCCACCAAGCTACACCCACAGAACCAGTAGTAACAAAATTTGAAACCCACCACTGGTGTAAGGGTATGCGGGAATAAGTTTGGGTAACAAGGGGCTGAACTACAGGCAAGGGAATGGTTGAATAAGAGGCAGTTTGGCCCTCAGAAGGAATGTGGACGAGGCCAACATCCCAAAAGAGACCTTTTCTGGTTTCTTGGGTGTTAAACTAGTTTTTAGTTCAAACTAGAATTAGTTTAAATTAAACACTAATTTAAATTAATTAAAATTAGTGTTAAACTAGTTTCTAGTTTCTTGGGCTGTTAACTCCTTCTTGCATAAAAGCTTGTGGTGACCAACTGGCCCCCATCTTCACCCGCATTTTTAATAAATCACTAGAGATGTGCTATGTTCCTTCTTGCTTCAAACACTCTACTATCATCCCAGTGCCGAAGAAACCCTTCATCAAGGAACTGAATGACTTCAGACCGGTTGCTCTAACATCTGTAGTTATGAAGACCTTTGAAAGGCTAGTGCTGGCCCACCTGAAAACCATCAGGGATCTGCTGTTAGACCCCTTGCAATTTGACTACCAAGCAAATAGGTCGACAGATGATGCTGTTAATATAACTCTGCACTACATCCTACAACATCTTGAATCTCCAAAGACCTATGCAAGGGTCCTCTTTGTAGACTTCAGCTCAGCATTCAATACCATCATTCCAGACACTCTTCTAACTAAGCTAAATCAGCTAGCTGTACCTGACCACACTTGTAAATGGATCATAAGCTTCCTAACAGACAGGAAGCAGCAGGTGAAGCTTGGCAAAATCACATCACATACCTGTACAATTAGCACAGGAACGCCCCAGGGATGTATGTTCTCTCCACTTCTCTTCTCTCTATACACCAATGACTGCATCTGTAACGATCCATCTGTTAAAGTACTGAAGTTTGCAGATGATACAACAGTGATTGGTCTCATTTGAGACAATGATGAATCTGCATACAGACGGGAGATTGAACAACTACCTTCGTGATGCAACCGGAACAATGTGGAATTGAACACACTCAAAACCATAGAACTGGTGGTAGATTTTAGGAGAAACCCTCCTATACTACCACCTCTTACAATACCTGACAACACAGTATCAACAGTAGAGTTCTTCAAGTTTCTAGGTTCTATCATATCTCAAGACTTAAAATGGACACCTAACATCAAAAACATCATCAAAAAAGCACAACAAAGAATGTTCTTTCTGTGCAATCTCAGAAAGCTCAAACTGCCCAAGGAGCTGCTGATTCAGTTCTACAGAGGAATTATTGAGTCTGTCATCTGCACCTCTATAACTGTCTGGTTTGACTCTGCAACCCAACAAGACAGACACAGACTTCAACAGATAATTAGAACTGCAGAAAAAACAATTGCTACCAACCTGCCTTCCATTGAGGACTTGTATACTGCATGAATTAAAAAGACCCCTCACACCCTGGACATAAATTGTTTCAACTTCTACCCTCAAAACAACGCTATAGGGCTCTGCACACCAGAACAACTAGACACAAGGACAGTTTTTTCCCGAATGCCATCACTCTGCTAAACAACTAATTCCCACACACTGTCAAATTATTTACTAAGACTGTATTACTGTTCTTCTTCTCATCCTTTCTAATACCTATCTCTTCCCATTTATGGCTATATCCATGTTGCTTGTATCTTTACAACTTATATTGTTTTTATTGTTTCCTAGTATGATTTGATTGCTTATTAGTATCCTATGACTATCACTAAGTGTTGTAGCTTATGATTCTTGATGAATATATTTTATTTTTTATGTACACTGAGAGCATATGCACCAAAGACAAATTCTTTGTGTGTCCAATCACACTTGGCCAATAAAGAACTCTATTCTATTCTAAAAGCAATGGGGGACAGATGCACTTTGCAAGATTTGCAAGATTCTATTAATGTAAAATTAGAATGAAGTAGAATTAGTGCATCTGGGCATGTTTTCTGTCTTGACTACTTCATAAGGCTGACAGCATGTGATTTGGCATTTATTTAATTAGGAGGTGTGATATGATTTTAAATGTAAATGGCTTCTTCAAGATTTCAAATAAGGTGCAATGATGCTTGAAGCCTTCCATCTAGTATTAATTTTGAGTTGCTTTTCAATATGCCAAACCAAGACAATTTTTTGTTTGCTCCTGGCATCCCTGCAATAACATTTCAACGTATTACTGAAACTGAGAAGACTTTTGACCGGGGTGAAATCCAAAATTTTTCCCTACCGGTTCTGTGGGAGTGGCTTGGTGGGCGTGGCAGGGGAAGGATATTGCAAAATCCCCATTCCCTCCCCACTCCTGGGGAAAGGATATTGCAAAATCTCCATTCCCACCCCACTCTGGGGCCAGCCAGAGGTGGTATTTGCCGGTTCTCCGAACTACTCAAAATTTCCACTACTGGTTCTCCAGAACCTGTTAGAACCTGCTGGATTTCACCCCTGCTTTTGACCCTCACTTTGAACCTGCTCATGGGACTGCAAGAAAGATCAAGAGGTGAAAGCAGGATTTGAAATATCCATAGCCAGATTATTATTTTTTTGCTTCTCCCCCCACAAAAAAAATCTACTGCCCAAGGAAAATGCATCTTTTTCCCTAATGAGAGGGATAGTTCTATTTTTCAAGCTAATCTCAAGCATGTACTCAATTGATTCTGATATTCTTTCCTTCTCAACTCTCTATCTAGGATCATGGCATTTAGGTTAATGAGTCCATTACGAAACAGTTTCCTCCGATGTGATGCTGGATTTGTACTCAGAGCTCGCAAATCAAGTAACTACATAATACGCATATTTACAGAGCTTTGTTACCCCCAGATATATATGTATTAAATGTAGATTAAAAAATATCTTGGGCTATAAAGGTCATTTCGCATATTACTTTTTCCTGATATAATTCATTGGAAAGCAAACAAAGTAGCTAGCATTGCTAACTGAGCTCCTGTTAACCAAGCTTTTATTTAAAAAAATAGGTTGCGCTTCCAGTCTTTATAAGCTTGTTGTTAAGGAAAAAGCATTCTCTTTGTGACGCACCAAACAGGAAAGGCATGTTATGTATATTTTGTGACTCATTTCAATTTGCTATCTAAAGCACTCATGGTTTGTTTATTAGTCTCCGTGTTGGTAGCTAATGGATACCCTGTAGAAAGCAATTTTTCATCATGAATGTTTGATGAAGATGGAAATCAGAACAAGGCTTGATGTAAAATATGCTAATCGGTTCTCTTGTGCTCTGCAGCATGGCTGGATGAGCATGATGGGATTTGCAATACAGTGTATCTGTTGATTAAAACTCTAGCAAAAATTTCCAAAGTAAAGAAATAAATAGAATGGGAAGTTGGTTAAGTTGCATATACCGTGTCTCTCCAAAAAGATGACCCACCTTGAAAAGAAGCCCTATCACATTTTTGAGCGCATGCGATCAACTTAAGCTCCACCCACAAAATTAGCCCTAATTAAGACCCTACCCACCCCGGGGTACAGGAGGTGGGGCGAGGCACACAGATAAAAAATAAGCCAAGATGGGGATGGGTAGGGTGGAGCTGCCCTACTTACCAGGCCTTGCACACCCTGACGCCTGCCTCGCCTTCTTCTGCGGATGCTTGCTGCCACTCATATGCATCACCCTGGCCTCTGTTTTGCCTTCAGATGCCTGCTGGAAGGCATCTGCAGCTGATAACAGAGCTCCGGATCAATCCAGAGTTCTATTATCGGCTGCAGATGCCTTTCAGCAGGCATCTGAAGGCAAAACAGAGGCCAGGGCGATGTGTGTGAGTGGCAGCAAGCAGCAGAAGAAGAAGTGGGCCAGCAGTGGGCTCCTGCTGGGTGGAGCTGTTGGTGCCACCACCGCAAGGTGAGTCAATAATTAGAACTAATAATTAGAATAATTAGAAAAGAAGACCTAGCAGTTTTGGGGGGGGGGTTTAAAAGAAATTAAGACCTGGCCTTCTTTTTGGAGAAACATGGTGTATATATATCTGCCAATCAGATGCCTATGGAAAGTTAACAAGCAGGACATAATCACATCAGCACCATACCATGCAGGGTCCAAATTCATACCCCTAGGACATTTTGCGTTATAATTGAATATTAACTGTTCTTAGAAACCAGTCGTGCAACTGAGAAACTATTTGGTCTCAGCTCCCCAACAAGAGAGAGACTCACTAAAATAATGTTGGTGGAATGAGATCATTGAATGAGAAAAGAGAAAAGAGGCGATGGTAATTCTGTTGTTTTTCTTTTGAGAATATCTTTGCACTGTCAATGCTCTAGCTGTTCATAAAACTAATGATTTAATGTGTTGCCAGAGGACCATGCTTGGATCCAGTAATGATGCATGTGTTTATGAAACCGTTATAGATGCAACAGCTTAAAACATTTGGGGAAGAAAGATAAGCAGGCAGAGAAATAGATTTAAAATTTAGGGTGATATGAACAGTTAAACCAATGGTAATCCATTTCAGCAGCTTGGGTTTATACACAATTTAGGGCAGAAGGGAGAATTGGCACAAAATGTTAAAAAATAGCAACATGCTTCTAGCTGACTTTCCATATCCAGTTCACAGCCTGACCTAGAGGTGATGCTTCTCTCCAGAACATGCTCCAGGTGCTCTTGTGGATACGTGGACTGGGTCACAAACAGTAGTGAAAGAATCACTTTCAAGGACTCAAGGACAGCGGCTGATATGCTGACTGCAGAGGTTAACCCCTTTCATCTTGTACACGAAACAGACTTGATTGAATTGAAATTTGGTTGTACGATGTACGTGCGTCCTGGCTGCAAACAAAAAAAAAAAAGGAGCATGATGACCATATGAGGATCAACCTGCACATCGTTAAATTATCAAAATGTCAGACACTTTTCCTTAACTTTGGCCTTTTATTAACAAAGGTGAAAATAATCTTTATCCGGATATCTACCACTGCATGCATATCATTTACTTGCTTACCTGAACTCAACAACCGAGAAAATTAGGGTTGGAGTCAGAGGTGGGTTTCAGCAGGTTCTGACCAGTTCTGGAGAACCGGTAACGGAACTTTTGAGTAGTTCGGAGAACCGGTAGTAAAAATTCTGACTGGCCCCACCCCATCTAGTCTCTGCCTCCCATGTCCCAGCTGATCAGGAGGGAATGGGGATTTTGCAGTATCCTTCCCTTGCCATGCCCAAGCCACGCCCACCAAGCCATGCCACGCCCACCAAGCCACACCCACAGAACCAACCGGTAGTAAAAAAATTTGAAACCTACCACTGGTTGGAGTGCTCTTATTTTAGTACTTAAAAATACGTACATTAAAGTGCAAATTTAGCAAAGCACTGCATGAGATCAAGAAGATAAGCCACACACACAAACACACCAGCTAACTCTAATGGCTTTAGGCATTTTTACCAAAAAGGTTAATTCCAGGAAATCTACGTCATGCCAGAATTACATCAGATATATAAACATGAGTGGTTCTAGCATTTGATGAATGTTATTTGCATGGAAGGAGAGTGTTTTTGTTGTTGCAATTGGCAGGGTACCAATCCAATATTAATGACAAAGGGCTGTGATATGAACACATGTCTTTCCTCCTTTAGACCTGACTTAATATGACACCTTTGAAAGAATGGCCTGACTGACATTTGGAAGGAAGCTATTCGGTGCAGAACAGGGTCTAATAAGTGATCTCTTATAAGTGTTAAGTGTTGCTGGAGGTTGCTTGCTATAAAACAACCAAGTGTTATTTAATTTACCAAGTTGTATTATAACCGGGATAGTTGAGATGAGTGCTGCATCGATTTAAACCCTATTATGGGCAGGTGCTTGTTATAATCTTCCGCCCACACACTGCTGTCATCCTTGTCCTCATCTATTTCCTTCCTTTATAGCTCAGGATTACCAATCAATCATTTAGAGTTGCATCAAACTGTTTGCTGATGGGTTTTTTTCCCCCTTCGCATATGTGAGGATTAAAGGAGATTTATAAAGAGATATAAAAGCAAACCTAGGATCACATATTAACAATGTGTACAGAACTGATCATTTCTATGATCAGTTTTTAAACCAAATATAACTCTTCCTTTGGAGAAAGCAGAAATGGTATTTATTAGATACTTACAACCCATGTGCCTTTAATATGACAGGAAGTACTTATAACAGCTGTATACAGACTTTATAGTATGTTTAATATACAGTCTATATTAAACATAGACTATATGTTTGTCTATCATAGCTAAAAATCAGAAGAGATCTTGTAGCAATAAAATTGGAAATTTTTATTGGAAAGTTAGAAAAAGTGCTCCCTTTGATTTTTAGCTAAGTATTTCCTTACTTACTAGCTAGTTATGCACCTACCTATTATCTATCAATGGTATTTGAGTCATCTGTAAAATTAAGTTGTTGGGTTTTCTGAAATGTTCTAAGCAACCGGATAACATTAGATGGCTTATATAGCTCACAGTTTCCAGCAATACAGGTTTTAGGGAGGGAAGGTCATATATATTTAACTTATATAGCCATCCCTCTCAGGGGTGGGTTCTACTTACCTTTACTACCAGTTCGCAAAGTGATCGCCTGCGCGCCTTGCTTCTGCACATGCGCAGCAGCTTCTGCGCATGCACAGATCGCTGATGATGACATCCGGGGCAATGGGCGGGGCTTCCTGCCAGTTTTACTACCGGTTCTTGCGAACCGGTCTGAACCAGGGGCAACCCACCACTGATCCCTCTCACAAAAAGTGACTCTAGGCACTGTACAACCAAGTTATAAAACAGGTAAACATATAAAAAATGCTCATTATTTATAGCAATTAAAAATCACAAGACATAAGAGAGTATAGATGTTAGCAGCAATAATGGAGGCATATCTTAGCACTAGGACATCTGCTTTGGGTGTCAAAGATCTCAGATTCAATCCCTGGCATTTCCATGAAGAACTGGTAAGAGTCAGTGCCAATAATGTTAATTTAGACTATCTAATTCAGGATGATTGGCAGCTTCCAACATCTGCAAGGTGAGAATCCAAATCCATAATATGAACTTATAGTCTGAATGTAGAAACTTGTTACTTCCAATGTGCATTACCTATTACTAAGAAGAAGTATGCAATTTTTTTAAAAAAATCTTCCAATTCCTGTATATAGATTTAGGAAGCTTAATTCAGATATGTTTGCATTGTGAAACTCTATGCCCAAAATCATATACTATCAAATGTTATTCTACTGCCTCCCTCCACCCACCCATCCTTGGCCAATCTTTCAAAGGTTCCATCAAGCATATCTGATAGGGAGCTTTGGGTACGTGGAAAACCAAATGGACTCTACAAAAAGAGTAAACAGGGAAGTGGGAACAAAGGGTTCTTCCATAGCATTAAATAATGTTAGTTAAGTTCCTTTAAAATCGTTCATTTGTAACATCTTTGCAAATCTAAATACTGTGATGAATGAGATCTAGACCTTCTACATCAGATGTGGTCTTCAGGGTTGAAAATGCTGCATACTTCTCAAGCCCATCATAGAAATTTCCAACATTTACTCTTCAGGAATTATGTCGCCACTTTTAGTTCATCTTTTTCTGGGATTGCTTAGGGTGCGTGAGAGTGTGACAAATCTGTACTAGGCAAGAAAACAAATTGAAGACATTTAGTATTCTCTTACCCAAAAAATTCTTGATATTTTTGCCAATGAAGTTCTCTTTGAAAATATGAAAACAGACCAGGAACAACTATTCAAGCTATTGGGACAGTCAACAATGCTTAAATATGGATTCTTTATGTAACAGAAGCTCTTGACTTAAGTAGTTCTTTTCAATTCTGTTTCCAATCGTCTATATCCTGTTTTGCTCTGTTTTACAATCCTTATTAGATATTTAATTATTTTTGTAAGTATTTTAAACATTGTCTGCTTTTTGAGCTTGTTTTCTTATTGATGAAGTACAAGTGCATGACAAAAGATTCATTTCCCTAGATTTTGCATATACCATGTTTCCCTGAAAATAAGACCCTGTCTTATATTTTTTGAGCCCCAAAATAAGCCCGTGGCCTTATTTTGGGGGAGGTCTTATTATTTTGGGGTGCGTGGAGCAAGACAGGGCTCATCTTGCTGCCTTACCTGATTTCCAGCTCTGTCTCTCTAACCCTAACCAGACTGACTGTGTATGTTTAAATATTTTCGGGAAGGGCTTATTTTTGGGGAGGGCTTATTTTCGGGGGAGGGCTTATTTTCGGGAAAACATGGTGTATATATATGCAAAAATAAATAAACACTACATAAATGTCAAGCTCTAATAAACTATAGTGACAAAATTAACATAGATGACACAGATGAACATTCTTTGAAGATGCTGTTCACACAATGAACAATATGAATAATCCACTAGCAAGATACATCAAGTGTAGAATATTTGAACCCAAAATTCAGATTTCAAATGTAAAAGAAAAAAATGGATTTTTTTTTAATTGGATTACTGTGTACACATTTATTTTAATCTAGTCAGCATCCTTCCTAGTAGGAGCAGGAGAGAAAAAAGGAGGAGATGGAAAGAGGCATGGGAGAAGCATCAGCTGAAAAGATCTAGGAAGAAAGAATGTTTCTTGGATTCAGACCATTATTAAGCCAAAACTACCATATTTAAGGCCATTAATTTCCACAAGACTGGTAAGATTCTCTTTCCCTTTGAAATAAATAGCCCTTAATAGTAGTCTAATCACATTCATAAATCAGGTGGTAGGTTCTCGGACTTATGAACATTGGCCACCTCTGCCTAAAGACTGTTTTTACCACAGACAATTCAGCTGGAATTCATTTATGAATTTAGCTCACTATTGGCAGCAGCATAAGAAGGTGTATCTTGTCTGTTATTTGTCTGGAAGACTATGAGCCTGATGCCCACTGCCCAGTTAACGCTGACTGTTTTCAACTGAGTACTATGCCCTAGTCAAACGTTTTGTCTCCTCTTGATAGTAGTGTTGAATTGGCAGCCACTCCTCTGTAAATGTATTAGAATGCAGACTGCCCTTGTTAGACTTGGCCATTATGTGTTGACTAAAGAGGTGGACCAGCATAGAGAAATAATAAATAAAGAATGAGGTATACTTGTCTTGGATGGGACTTTTTCTTTCCAGCTTACTCAAATATGAGTTCTATGGCTCTTTTTGGCACCTGCTAAGGCAGGACTAGCCAGAGTAAAGCAGAGGTCTGCTACAGCCCTTCATTCATAGGCATCACTTGAATGCTATGCATGTCTTACTTTTTTTTTTTCATTCACCTTAGGATGGGGGGAGTGGGATGGAAAAATCATATAACTCCCTTTTTTCAACCCTGTAATCCCTTAATTCAGGCAGGGCCGGATTTTCCTATAGGCTAACTAGGCTTCAGCCTAGGGCCTCAAGATCAAGAGGGGCCTACATTCAAATTGTTAGCAAAATTAAAATTACACTTCCACTATAGGGGAAAGGGCCTCATAAGTGGACTAGCCTAGGGCCTCTTTTCATCTAAATCCGGCCTTGAATTCAGGGTAGAGTCTCGATGGAGCTGGACATTTACTTGGCCGGATACCCTTCCTGATGCCATGCAGAGTTCACAGCAGATATTTTTTTTCTTTGCACCCTGATAGAGTAACATCTGTTGCTGCCTAGGTTTGAACTCTCAACCTTCTGAGTGGGGGTGAGCATCTTCACCACTAGACCACCATGCCGCTCATGGATGAAGAGATCATATCAGGTCCAAAAAGCAACCTTTCTACAACTTTTTCAACCTTCCACAAGAGTGAAGACTTCCACCACCCCAAAAGATCTTTAA